TATGCTTTTCCTGAACAGTGAAACCTAACGCTACAAGAACTTTTTAAATGTAAGAAAAACTGGGAAAAAACTTTGTAGTTCTGCGGTTTTTTTCTCAAGTGAACATCCCAGTATAAGGGAAAAAGTACGATGTTTAAAACTATAAATTAGAGAAAAAAATCTAACTTTTAGTTGTAAGGTTTCTGACGGAATTTATTTCACAGTAAGACATTGAGGCTTCATAGTAGGAGGAAAGGAGAGAACAAAAACTCTCTATGGATGCAATTATTAACTGCCAAGATCTTCTTAATAAGTTTGCTTCCAACAAGCTCGTAAAGCGTATCCATGGAAAAGGTATTTAACAGACACATATAATGCCTCTGACATCAATAGACTAATGAGACAACGTAGGAAAACTAAAACAATACTCGCTACTCAAAGAACAGCTGCTTCAGAAGCGAAGTTGAAAATAGCCTGCAGGAATTCCTCGTGTGGATCGATTTCTGCAATCACACTGCCTCCCCTGGGCATTCCGCCTTAGTTCTTTTGTTTTGCTGTTAGGAAAAACTGGAATAATATGGGTTTACTTGTTTGATTGGCATGAAATATCAACTTTGAAATTGAATCAACTCAATTGTTTGGGCAGTAGCCTTTATTGAGATCATTCAAACCAATGCCTTCATTTATGTGAATCCATAATTTGAGGCGATTTAGAAGAATCTACTCTAAGAAAGTCATTCCATCCTCATTTCTCCTAGTGTTTTAACTCCATAACTCGTAACGAAATAAATAGAGAAGTGCAACAGTAGTAGTTCTTTCATGATTTATTTAGTTTAAAGCACAAAGCTGTTTCCGTATTTTGCAGTCAGTCAATTTCTCCTTTTTACAAAAGGTTACAGATTGCGCATTACTAACACTAGTTGATGACTAATCGAAGAAATTGGGATGCCAATCAATAACTATCCATTTTTTTTCATTTTCGTAGAATGAATGAAATGAACATCATGATACAGCAGAACATCTTATAATCTGTGCCTCTGCTAGCATCTCAGCTGATTTTTTTTACAGTCGCTATAGGATTGTCTACCTCTCTTCTCGTAATATAGCTGTTCATGAATTGGTATCTTAGCGTTTCCAGGAAATGTGTATTGAAAATTGTCAGTTCTTACATATTTGCAGAAATATCTGCTCTTTCACTTCATTAAACTTTTTAGACATGGAAGAGTAGTTTTATCAATGTGATACCATTCCTACAACCTAGTTGTTGAACTTCCTTGTAGACGTTAAATCTTAGTGCATTGAAAACGTAAACTTCTCCACATTTCAGAGTACAGTTTATGTCCAGTGCAGCTTCTGCTACCAACCGGGGCCGAGTATTGAAATTATACAAAGAAATTTTGAAGCTTGGTTGGTTTTTAGAAAGATTGGAACCTGTGAGCGTATAATGTATTCAGCAAAGAATTGGAAAGCCAAAGATGCCGAGCGGACGTTGACGGAGCGCAAAGATATCGTGAATGAGGCGAAACAGAGTTTTCGTGAAAATAAAGAGGTGAATTATCAGAAATCTGACATAAGCTCATT